TAATTTACTTAAGAAGAGTCGAAGTAGAACCGAAGAGGAACCGAAATGGAACCGATAGAACCGTCCCCATCCCTAATCTGATCACGTTATCACAAATGATTTGTACCACTGCAATGTTCGGAGTATATTTTCCGTTGATCTAATTTGGTCGTGATAATTCCTTTTATATCCTTAGCAATATTTTTTTTTTTTTAAAAAAAAAAATGGAGGTAAATAGCCATGAAAATGAAGCCCAAGTTCTAATAGAATCAAAGCTAAATGTCTCAGATAAGAATTGTCGTTATTGCGATAAACCATTTGCTGAGAAATTATGGTGTAAAGAATGTGACCCTTGGTGTATGATTGAAGGATGGACTAGTGGAAATTCTGAAATTGATAAATTCATAAAAAAAACAATATATAAAGCAAGAAATAAAGAAAATCGTCCAAGATTTCTTGAATGGGTGCCTTTTGATAGATTCACAGACATAAAAGAAATTGGTGAAGGAGGATTTGCCAAAGTGTATTCTGCAACATGGATCGATGGTCAATCGAAATTTTATAAGCAAGATGACGGAAGTTGGAAAAAGTATGATCCTATACCTATGAAGGTTGCTTTGAAAAAGTTAAATGGATCACGAGATATGTCAGTTAATTATTTTAGTGAGGTATATCACATTTATATTTGATATGAATTAATAAGAATATTCTTCTAATTTGCTCTTAAATTTTTATTATAAAAACTAGCTTAAAGCACATTGGGATATTTGTCAAACAGGTATTGGTGCATTAGCATTTTATGGGATAACTAAGGATTCAGAAACCAAAGAATTTATTATGATCGTACAATTTGCACCTGATGGAAATTTGAGAAGTTACCTTTCTAATAATTTTAAAAACTTGTTATGGAAAGATAAAATTCTAAAATTATTAAATATAACTGTTGACCTTTACAAATTACATAATTTAGGATATTGTCATAAGGATTTTCATAGTGGAAATATCTTGCAAGATGCAGTTTCTTATATTTCAGATTTTGGATTATCAGGACCAGCAGACAAACAAAAATCGGATGATAAAATATATGGAGTATTACCATATATCGCTCCAGAAGTCTTGAATGGTGGATTATATACTTTGGCTTCTGATATTTACAGTTTTGGTGTAATTATGGCTGAATTATCATCCGGAAACCCTCCCTTTGATGATAGAAAACATGACGTATCTTTAGCCTTGAATATTTGTAATGGACTTCGTCCAGAATTTGGAAAAGGAACCCCTGAATTTTATAAGAAATTGACTTATAAATGTATGGATGCAAATCCAAATCAAAGACCAACGAGCGATGAATTAGATGAAATATTGAATTTTTGGTATGATTCTCTTTTTTCTGAGAAGTATGATACTAAAAAATATGGATTTTATGGAAAAGAAATAAAGGAAGCATTTGAAGAGGCAGATAAAGAGATACCAAATATTTCAATTTCACGCAAAACGAATCCTGATGCTATATATACAAGTAGAGTATTTACATTTAAAAATTTGACAAAACCTATTAATTCGTCGCTTATCACCTCATACCTTGAAAAGGATGAGAATAATGAAGGTAATATATACTTAACTTATTTATTTTGATAACGAATTATTAATTTCAATGCATTTTAACAGAATTTCAAGATTCTCAATTAATTGAATTAGGAATTTCTAGCTCATTACAATTAAGAGGATTAAGAGGTAATATGAATTATCAATATTTATTATTGCAATTTAAATATGAACTAATATTGATTTATTTATAATTGCAGACGTCAATAATTGAAATTTATTATATTTATTTTTAACTTTAGCATATTATGTACCGATATGATGATGTGAACACAATATATTTGACTTGAAATATTAGTTTTAAATGTAATTTTAACCTTTTATGTATTAGCTTTAAAAAATTTCTCAATATTTTAAATGTTATAGAGAACTTTATTTTGCTTTGCAACGATTAATATCAAAATTATTGTCCAATTCATAATGACGATCAGTTAGATTTAGCCACGTTAGTGGCTAAATCTGACTGATCATCAATGAATTAGACAATAATTTTGACTATTTATCAACGCAAGCACAATAACGATATTATCGTGTGATTTTATGATGTTGACTTTAAATTCTCTTGGTGATAGGATGCGATCCTACTAGATGCCTAGCATAAAATTTATAGTAATTTGAAATCGAGTGGTCATATAAATACCCACTTTGTATGAACCACGAAAAAAAGATACCTTTTGTGTTATAAAATTAATACTACAATTTAACAAAATTTTATTTTTAGACGAATTATACGTTTGAAAAACTTACTGGAAAGAAACTTAACGAATTTATTAATATGTTTATAGAAGACGAATTGCTTTATTTAATACCTCATCAAGTAACAATTAATTATATGCTAAAAAACTATATCTCAAGATGTAACAACTTTTATTGGTTATGCATCTTTGATTATTTTGATTATTTTTATTATCTTTAATTTGTTTGATGAAAGTACAACCATTAATACTGCAACAATAAAATATATCCCTTTTGTCAACCACTTAGATACTAAATGAGAATTAAAAAAATTTTAAAATTATGGCTAAAAATCTTTAATTAAAAAATAAATAAATTTGCGGAAGGTGGTAATTTAGGTGTTCTATTCACATAATTGAATTGATATCGCGAAAATAAAAATAATAAAAAAAATTATTTTTTGATATTTATTAATTAGCCCCCTTTATCTTTAGCTCCTAAAATATTATTATACTTCTAAAGTTAGAAAAATATTCCATAATTAACATCTTTACGCTTATATTATATTGAAAATAGAAACAAGTTACTTGAAATTAATATGTATAATAATAAGTATAATTTATTGTCTTATTTATTTGCTTAAAATAAATTTTCGTTATTGTATAGCTAATTTTCATATAAACTCCGTGATATCACTAAAAATATTAAAAAACAAGATCGTCTACATCATACTGGTAAGCACGATAATTTATATTAAAGGGAATTATGAAATATTTTTAAAATATGGTTCAAAATTATTACATATAGCGAGTAATTTACAATATATAGGGTTAATAGAGATGATTTATGAGGAATGTTTAGATCTCTTTAAAAATAATTTAGAAATCAATAAAGCATTCTTAGGTAGTATAAATGAATCGATGCCATTATTGGATCAAAAGCATCCTAATTTTATTGCAAAATATTCATCAGATACAAACATGTTACTAGATTCTCATACTAAAATCGACCTACTGGTTACATCTCATCTTTATCCTTTTACCAATATTGGTATTGTTAATTTAACGCCATCTATTGGTTGGACAAAATATACTGCTCAAATGGATCACATTTATTACTATACTGAAAATATAATGATTAAACTACTAATGAGGATTTATTTCGCAAGTCAATATATAATATTTTTATTGACATTACCTATTTCTTTTCCTATATTTCATATTTTAAATAAATTTCATATTATTAACGAAATTTACGTCGATGGGTTTTCTGATATTTACTATAAATGTTATTATTCGATCTTTTCGTGAAAACTGATGCTTACAATTACTTTTATGAATCCTTATATCAAATTTGTTTGTTATTCAGACAAATATAGCTGGTGGGAATTAATTAAGCCTAAATCTAGTCCATTTGTAGATACAATAAATAGAGAAATATACAAAACATGGAATGGTGAAGCATTAATTAATTTCAAGTGGAATATATATGGAAGTTGTTATTATTATGGAATTTGGTTGTTCTTTATTAACATGTTTTACGACCGCTTCAACATATTCTGAAGATATATCTAAAGACATTAGAAATCGACTTTTAAAAGCCACAATTGTACTTGGAATTATTCACTTAAATTTCGAACTTCGCCAGATATATTATGATTCTATTAAATGGTTTATAGATCCCTGGAACTATTTTGGTAAAAATTATTTATTTATTTCATTACATACTTTACAAACGCCATCGGGTATCTAATATATTTTGTAATTCTTTTAAGATTTGGGAGCGTATTTAGTTCCTACCATTGCATCTTTTTATTGGTTATATACATATGACAAACCCTACTTTTTACTTTCGATTTCATGTCTTTTACTAGAATTTAAATTTTTATTGTTTTTTAGAGCATTCGAAATATTTGGTGTTTATTTTGTAATTATCGTTAGTGTTGCGAGGAAGATATCTTCCTTTTTGGTGATTTTATTCATTTTACTTCTGAGTTTTGCTCATGCCTTTTGGATTCTGTTAAAACCAAGAAAAGATTATAGTTTAGATGACCCTCCTGCAAACCATGATGATCCTAATAATCCTTGGGAATTAACTGATAGATATAATCAAGTACTACACAATGGAACCATAGTATCATTTGTTCAACAACCTGATAAGAATACGAATATGTTTACTAATTACGGTACTTCACTTTTATCAATGTATTTATATCTCACGGGTAAATTTATTTCCTTTTAAACCTTAAAAAAAATTTATGAATTATTATTAATCAATTTTGTTAAATAGGCGATTCAAATGCTTTACCCAACTGGGAATATAGAGATAATTCACAACTTACTATATTAATGGTTTTATTCTCTTTATTAATTGCTGTGTACCTTATGAATTTGTTGGTTGGATTACTCAGTAACGCTATTGAAGATAATAATAGAGCTTCGTATTTTATGCAAAAGGCGAAGGTATTTATTTATAAAGTACAACTAGATATATTTTTTTAATTTTATTCTTCTAATAATAAATATTATCTATAAGAAATTGGCAGAAATCGAATTATTTTACTTATTACCTAATCAGAGACGCTGGAAAACCTGGTTTCCTGACGTTATGTAAGTCTTTTGTTGTAACTTCTTCGAATTATTTCATGTTTATTTAGTTTAATTATCTTATATTAACTAGATACTATCACGCCAATTTTGAAGAGACATGTAGAGAAGTTCAAAAAGATGATTATAATGGATCTAAAATTGAGAAATTGTCAGAATTGAGGAAAGAATTACGAGAAAAACATAGATGGTGATGTGTTAATTGATCAGAATGCCTTTAAACACAATAATTATAGTTAGAAAATAGTGTTTATGTATTTTAATAAAATTAGGGGTTTTTTCCATAAAAAGCGTATTAGTATTTTAGTATCTAGAATTTTACTAAATAAGAAATTGTAACTATATTCAATTTTATATTTATTAGACCAAAGATGAGATTGGTCGTAATTTTTCGTCAATTGAAAGGTAAATTCTTGAAATAATCTATAGTTTATTACTACATTTTCAAACTTTTCTTTTGTAATAAAAACAAGGTATAAGGAAATATGTCTTTTTTTTAAGTCGGAGCTACATCGGGAAATTTTCAGGGGGATAAGCATCGATAATTATCGCTTTATCACAGAATATCACAAATTATCAACGAATGAGATTAAGATATATGACGTAATTAAACTATGAAAATTTAGCAAAATTGCTGATTTCTACGATATTGAAAATCAACATGAAGTTAATTGGTCATTTTTTGTGATATTGAAAATTTCAGTGGCGTTGTTTTAGATATGCCGCATTAAATAATGGATAAAATCAATACATTAATAAATGATAGTATATTATTAAATTATTTTTTTAATAAATAATACTATATTTTACTACTGAAAACTCCCTCTTTTTGTTACTTACTGTAAATAGGCAAAGGAGCAGCAATGGCTCAGTAATGGATAAGCTTTTTACAGGGCGGCATAATTTTATAAAATGTGCATACCTTGAAAACTATCCTGAAAGTTATAATTTCCGATCGGTTAATTTGATTAAAAAATATTTAAAAAAAGTATCAGTTTTTCATGCGATCGTTTAAATATTCGATAGACAAGATAACAAATTAAACTCGTGAATATGACGTTTGGATCATGAAATTCGGGGTATAGACCTAAAAATCTTTAACCGTTATTTGACTGGTTACTTTTAATTTGGGGATAATGATTTTCTCGGGATTTTGACATCGCATTTTAAACGGATAATAATATTGTATTTTTATCATTTGAATATACAAAACCACTATTTTTAATCTTTCTATTAATGATATATTTTAGTGGAAATATTATTTAAAATTTGTTTATTTAGCTGAGATTTATAATACGATTCGGGTCTCTTTTACTAAAGTCCAGATGCATCACATTGTATGATCCTACTAGAAGAAATGAAACGTATCAGCTTGCAACAATAAATAAATGTAACTTTAAATATGTAAAAATATATAAAATAACAAAAGTTTCATATTTCATGGTGATTTCCATAATGTAGAGATTGGTATCGATTTCGATCTTTAGAATCGTTTCTCGAGATTCGAGCCTAAGATTTAATTTTCAATTTTTGATTAATCGAATATAATCGATCGATCCATTGAGTTAGGTGCTCAAGAACATAAATTAAATCCGAAAAATAAAAATAAATAATTAAATTAAAAAAAAAAATAGGGGATATATCATATGCAAATTAAAATTAAAAATTATTAAAATAAACTATTAAATATTAATATATATATTACGAGTTAATGTTAGAATTATGATTAGAGTTTTAAAAGATAAGTTAGCGTTAAGGTTAGAAGTAGGGTTAGGGTTGGGGACAAGAACGAATACAAAAAAATACATATTACGGTTGTTGTGAAAAAAGAAAACTAGAAATTGTATAATTCAAGGCAATAACAATTTTCCTTGGATTGCATTGAACATCAACACTCACCTCAGGCTAATAAAGCTAAAGTTGCAAAAACTATTGCCAAAATTAAGTTCGGCTCAATATATCTTTAAGCTTAAGCTTTTTTGAGAAAATAATCTTCTGAGCGATTGAGCTTACTATATTAGTTAAACACAGATGTATTATATAGTTAGACTTGATTTATTTAAACGGTTAGTGTAAGCTCGCTTATCTATTTTATTATATAATAAATCTTTATCAGATTTTATTGGAGTATTTTTATTTATATTTAATTTTTATGTCAATATTATTTATGATGAAAATATGTTAAATCAATTGCTATTTTAAAAATATTTAAATAATTATAAATTTTAAATACTTATTTGTTGAAATTTATTGATTATTCAAATAATTTTAATAATAGCTGCTTCATTATAGCTATTTTGATCAAACGCGCTATATATACTTTTTTAAGCTCAAATTAACAAACAGAATATTAAAGCTAGTTGAAAAAGCTTGTGCTTATACTCAGTATAATATGCTTTGTTGAATCAATTTAACATCCCTAGCCAAAATCAAGCAAAAAGCTTGTACAACAAGAGATAAACCTACACAAATCATTCAAGATTTCACTGTTAATATGTTACAAGAGTATCAACCCTTCGTGCAAGAATTAAACGTATTAGAAGAGCAGAAATGCCTCAACAATCACAATCTATTGAAGAAATTATTGTTTCAGATTCACTTTGTTTTACTTAAACTTGTAATCCTTTCTTAATAAAAGATTTTGTAGTTAGTGAAAATCGAATTTTATTATTCACTACACAATCAAATATTCAACATTTGTCTCAAGCTTCATTTTGGATGATGAATGATACATTTAAAACGGTTCCAACAATTTTTTGTAAGTTGTATACAATCCATGCACCTGTTGGTAGAGAAAATTCAAGAATTCTTCCTCTTGTTTACTCATTAACATTAAGTAAATCAGAAGAAATGTATAGATGCTTATTTGAAGAACTACTTGATTTCGCAATAGAACATAACATCGATTTACAACCTCCAACCAATATAACTGATTTTGAACAAGCATCAATTAATGCATCACATCTTGGATTCATAAAAAAGGATTTTTTTCATTTGGGACAATCTGGTTGACGAAGAATTCAATCATATGGACTTGCTACTAAATATAGTAACGATGAGCAGTTTTGTTTGCCATGAAATTTCAGAGAATTTGATATATTAAAGCTTGAAATGCCTTCAGAGGCAGACGAAGCTGTTAAATGGTTTGAAGAAAATTATGTATATGTATGTATATGGATGGATACGTCGTCATTGAATATTAATAAATAATTGTTTAAGTTGGAGCATGCATAAGCCCATTTTTTGAAACTGAACTTAAAACATGTCAGGCCGGACCAGTTTTGATCAATATATTTTATTCTATAAATTAAAATATATCTTTATTTATGATTTTATTACTAAATAAAAAAAAATTTAGAATGTTATCTAGTTAAAGATTTGTGCGACATCATTAATTGTTTGATTTGTGATACTAAATCGATTTTTTTTTAAAATAAGATTATTTAACGTTAAAAATACATTAAAAAAGATGGAATGGTGGGAACAATACAAAAAAATTAGCCAGAGTTAATGAATCTAAATATACTTAATTAAAATTTTTGCCAGAATTAAGAAAAATCCGGTCTGGCACTTTGAACCCATTGTAGTCCTCTATTTTAAGTAAACAAACAACAAATAAAACAAAGAAAAGTAAGAAATATTGCTCAGAAATTTCCAGGTAGATTTTTTAAATAACACCTGACAAAATAAATATCACATTTAGATAACATGACCAATATCAAGAATTACTTAGGTTTTAACCTTTTTTCTAATCTATTTTTTCTTGAAGAATAAATAATAATTTCCAAATCCATTTTCCTTAGATAATATAACTTTAGAATTCTATATAAGACATTTACGAGACGTTTAAATGTTAAAATGATTTGGATGACCACAATGTTATTTAAGTTGGAAAAATTCAGAACGCAAACTAGTGTTTTTTAATTTTTTTTTTTTTTTTTGTTGTTTTCAATGTTTTCGGTGTTTACCGTTACGATTTTTATTTTTCAATTGATCGACAAATCACTTGATCACACTAATTCTAAAACGACAGCGATAATCAGACCTTAATAGATCATTCCCGATAAATTCTATATTTGGTATAGTTACGTTACTGTTCACCATAAAATTGCTAGAAAAAAAATCAACTTTCTATTGTCAGACAATTTTTTTTCCTTCCGAATAAATTTTTACAAAATGTCAGCACAATTTCTTTCGAATTTGAGTCAAAATTATATTGAATTATTGGATGATGATGAATATTATGATATTACTGTGGAAGTTGGTGAAGACCCTAATGTTAAAATATTCCGTGCTCATATGAATATTTTGTGCTACCGTTCTCCTTATTTGCGACGAGTTTTGGTTTCCAATAAAAAAAGTAATGATAATATCTTGGCACATTTGAAGTTGCCAAATATTTCACCGGAAATCTTTCAAACTATATTAAAGTAAGACTTATCGGATATAAACAAACTCTCATTTATAATATAATGATTTTAATATTTAAAATAATTTTTTTTTCGTAATTTAGATATATTTATGGTGGCATTCTTTCATTTAATGAGCAAGGCGCTTCAGATATTGTTAAACTCTTGTTGGCTGCCAATAAACTATGTCTTCAAGAGCTAATTTATTACTTGCAAAAGTATTTAATTGAAAATAAATCCGAATGGATGGAGCAACATTTTGGGATTATTCACCAAACAAGCTTTCAATCAAATAA